GGCTGTGGCTATTGTTGTGGCATCTAGCCATTTTTGTGGCAGCTGTGGCTATTGTGGTGGCTGTGGTGGGCCACCTGCATGGAACTGGTGTTTTTGGCATGCTCCTTGCCTGGTTGTGGGTGGGAGTGGTGACCTCCAGCTCCATGCCTCAAGACCCTGAGTGGGCCCCATGGCAGCAGCGGTGTTCCTGGTTGTGGGAGGAGGTGTAAGCAGATTTTTTTAATATACTTTCTTTTTTGAGCAGTTTTAGGTTCATAGCAAAATTGAGCAGAAAGTAGAGTTCCTATATATCCTTGCCCCACCTCCCCCCACACACACAGTTACCTCTGCTATTGATATCCCCCACTAGAGTGGTACATTTTTTTAAATTGATGAATCTACATTGACACATCATTTTCACCCAGAGTCCATAGTTTACATTAGGGTTCACTCCTGATGCTGTACATTCTATAGGTTTGGACAAATGTATAATGGCATGTATCCACCATTATGGTATCATAGAGAATAGTTTCACTGCCCTAAAAATCCTGTGTTCTTTGTTCATCCTTCTCTCCCCCCTCATCTCTGGCAACCACTGACCTTTTTATTGTCTCCATAGTTTTTACTTTTCCAGGATGTTACATGGTTGGAATCATATAGTATGTAGACTTTTCAGATTAGTTTCTTTCAATTAGAAATATGCATTTAAGTTCCTCTATGTCTTTTCATGGCTTGATAGCTTGTTGCTTTTTAGTGTTGAATAATATTGCTTTGTTTGGATGCACCATAGTTTATTCATCCATTCACCTACTGAAGGATGTCTTGGTTGCTTCTAAGTTTTGACAATTATGAATAAAACTGCTATAAACATCATCAGTGCAGGTTTTTGTGTAGACATAAGTTTTCAACTCATTCGAGTAAATACTAAAGAGTACAATTTCTGTATTGTATAATAAGAATATGTTTTGTTTTGTTTTGTGAGAAGCTCCCCAACCATCTTCTCAAGTGGCTGAGGCATTTTGCATTCGCACCAGCAGTGAATGAGCTCCTGTTTGCTCCATATCCTTACCGGCATTTGGTGTTGTCAGTGTTTTGCGTTCTGGCTATTCTAATAGGTGTGTAGTGATATCTCACCATTTTTTAAATTTGTAATTCCCTAATGACATATGATGTTGAACATCTTTTTGTATGTTTGTCATCTATGTATCTTCTTTGATGAAGTATCTGCTTGAGTCTTTTGCCCGTTTTTTAAATCATTTTCTGACTGTTGACTTTTAAAGAGTTCTTTGTATATTTTGAATAACGGTCTTGCAAATATTTTCTCCCAGTCTTTGGCTTCCCATTCTCTTGATAGATTTTTTAGTAAAATGAAGTTTGGTACTTTCAGGGAAAAAAAGTAATAGTTGCAGCCATCACTGTGAAGATGAAGAGATCTCGACACCATTTTAGCAGCTTGTCTGTAGTAAGGAGCAAACTTCAGAGAGAGGTCAGGTCTTTGCTAGTGTACTTCTGTATAGTCATTTTTGAAAGGCAGTGCATAGACTGGTTGTGGTCTCCAGGAATTCTCTGGGTCCTTGCTCTTCAATAGGTGGTCTGTGGGCCTGCAATATTGACATCACCTGGGAGCTTGTTAGAAATGCAGTCTCAGGCCCCAGCCCAGACCTGCTGAATCAGAAATTGCATTTTAACAAGATCCCCAAGTTATTTGTATGCACATTAAAATTTCAGAAGCCCTGTTCTCCATAACCTGCAATCTGGTCTCAAAGATATATTTCCTGGAAGTATAAATGTGTATACATTGAGATAATACTGTATATGCATGCATTTATATCATACTTTTATTACTTAGTATTTTATAGTAAGCATTGAACTTTCATTTAACAAATATTTATTGAACACCTACTGTGGATTAGGCACTATTCTGAACTGTAGGGTTACACCAGTGAACAAAGCAGATAAGGGCTCTGCTCCTATGAATCTTACTTTCTGGTGGAGCAGGTAGATAATAGAGACAAAGAAGTAAACAAGACATTTGTAAAAGGTGAAAAGTATGAAGAAAATAAAACACGGTAATGTACTAGAGGGTGACACACTGCTTTCTTTTTTCATAACCCATGCTGATGATCTGGACCTCTTCAATTCCTTGAGGATTAACAGTATAATTTCTAATCTTATCAAAACCTGTGATATTCTCTAAATTTCTTTTTTGGCTAAACTGAGAATTACATATTTTGCTTAAGTGAATTACATATCACTGTAATTTAACAGCTCCCCTTGAATTTTTGACAGGTGTGTAGTGTCCAACTAATAGTCCTTCATGGTACTTGAATAAGTCACCCCAGCTTCTTTTATCTTTAAGCATTCTGCAATCTATTTCATGAATTTAGAGGCTTCCCCTCTCTTTAAATGCAAGGCCTAGCCTATGACATGCAGTCCTCTCTGCGTATGTTCTCCTGAAAATTTAAACCCAAATTCTCCCTCTTGGGGGAATCTTATCTTTGTAAGTCTTATTGCAAGAGTAGTCATTTGTACAGCAAAGAATCTTGCTTCACTTATAGTATATTTGCATCCTAATGCTCCATTTTTTGCCTATTACTCAAACGCTCTATTGTAATGTTTTTGAAGCCATTTAAAATAATAATTAGAAATATTAACCGAAGTTAAAAGTCAATTATCTGTACTGTCAATAGAGATAATTCAGTGAGATGATCCCTGTTCAGCCAAGGTCATATGTATGTCTTCCACCTCCATCAGCCAGGTCACAAATTAACCGCTTTGCCTGTTATCTTGGCAAGTTTCTTTTGCCATCAGTTATAAGATATATTCTGTTTTCACAAACACCAAAATATGAGAGGGGAGTGGAATTATTAGTTGGAATTTTAGTATTTTATATTTCACCTACGGTTAGATGGTAGGGTTCAAATTTAATTTACTACAGTTATGATCTACATTAAAAATCATAAAAATTACTTAATCTGCAGCCAGTGCAATGGTTCTTTACATGATGAAAGCATCACTGATTAATAAAACCATGAAGCAGCTAGTGAGATTGGGTAGGGAGTCCTTAGGATCATTGACTCATCAATGTATTTATGAAACTTGGAAGATCAGTGTTTAATGATAACAGTGGCATGGCTGTTAATGTGGCATGACATTTAATCTCATTCCAATTTAATCCTGTATTCCTCTTAAACCCAGCTCAAGAATCCAACTTCCATGCTGCTTTGATAGCAGCTAACCACTGCTACTGTGTTCTCTTTTATTATCTTCAGTGCTTAGTATCCCAGACTAGACTAGTCTATGAGAATCTGTCCTCATCTATGAAAGGCATGAGAAGCTAGTGCTCTACAGCTTGGCACCTCCAAGAGTCACAGAATGTCTGGATTGAAAAGCACCTAAATGGTGATCCATAATAGCAATTTCCAGCATTAAGGATCCCGGAAGCCTAAGGAATTATCCACCCCAGACACCAGGAATGACAGGAAAGAGGAGATGGTAGCCAAGTCCCAATCACTGGTGCAGGGCAGGAGGCCTGAGAAGAATGGCTCTGTGTGGTCAAGGTTGTCTCTCTGATCCACAGACCAGTGGGAAGGGATTCTAGAAAACTGTGCTCACTCCTTCCTCCTACCACCTGTAACTGTATCTTATCGATTTTGACATGATAGCTATGCTCTAGTATGACCCATTTTCCTGAGAGATCATGGAATTCTTGCCAAGAGCACACATCTGCAAAGAGCATGCCCCCAAGGAACACATAATATATCTGTATTCAAATATGGTAGTTTCTCCCTGTTTATAGCCAGGGTATCAGGAACAGGAAAACAATACAGTTAGTACTACCCAGATTTATATTGTGTGGAGCTTCTTTGTATATTGGCTAATCTGCACATCACAGACACCGGCTGTCTGAGGCTTAGCCTTGCATTTTCAGTGACAATACTATCACACAGCTGCCTCCAATGACACAGTGATGGAAGCATGTGTAACTTAATACGGACTTAGTTGTCCTTAATGTGTTTCACCTACTACTGTTACTAATAGTACCAGCTAACATAGATTGCCAGGCTCATTCTTAGCTAATCCCATGTAGTTTCTCATTTAATCTTTACAATAATTCACTAAAGTAGATACTAATGTTATCTTCATTTTAGCGACAAGGAAACATGTGCAAACAGTTAAGTCGTTTGCCTCAGGTCAGATACCTGGTAGTGTTGAAAGGACTGTTAGAACCAGGCCAGGTAACTCCAGAGTGCATGATCTTCACTACTACTCTAATTTGCATGCATAAAAACATTTTATCTATTCTTCTCACTTCTTAATGTAAATATAGTTGTTGGCTGTAATAAACAAATGCCTTGATGGGGATACTATAATCCTTTTATCATTGAACTACCATCTTTGTCTATCTGGCTTAGTTGTAAGTTATTGTGGCAAGTATTATTTGGAAATACCTTTAGAAAAGCAATGCTGAATACAGAAGATCAGAGAGATGTGTGGGGTACAAAATGCTCACAGACCATTGTTTTTGGCTGTTTCCACTTGCACAGTAAGTCATGGGGAACTTGAGTAACAAATGATTTTCCAAAAGGAAGAGTTCCGAAGATCACTTTTTTTCTGTGTTTGCAGACAATGTTAACAAGTTCAAGCTGATTTTTTTGTTACCTGATACATTTTCTAGAAGCACTGTGACAGAAAATCCATAAAAAATGCATCACCATTAATTTCCAGATATTGAACATTTCTCCGGGAGTTTGTTTGCATACTATATTCCTGTTCATATGTGCTTCAAGTGAGCTCATTTTATTGTTCTATATATTAAAACAATTAAAACTGACAAAATCCACACAAAGGACATTTTTTTGTCAGCAGAGCAGAAACGAGTCCATTTATGCAACTGTGTTCATGCAGAACCATCACTTATGGAAGAGATCCGGGGTGTGTTTCCTGTTATTCACACACAAAGTGTGTCAGAGACTATGCAGGACTAATTAAAATAAGGTTTTGTGTGTGTGTCATTGTAGGCAAAAGGAAAAGAAAGACAGTGGCTAAGACACCAAGCTACTGGGGAACTAGATGATGCCAAGATCATTGATGGGCTGACTGGAGAAAAAGCTATCTACAAACGTCGGGGTGAGCAGGAGCCACAAGTAAGTAACGGGGAACTAGCAGCCTCAGATCTGCATTGTTCAGCCTGCTTTACAGAAGCTGCTTTCTTGAGTTGTGTCAAAACACCATAAACATTGAATATGGCAACCAAGGAAAGCATTATGTAAAATAATAAAGCAGAAGAAGAAAAAGCATAAATATTATACTTTTTATTGTACAAGTCAATGTTCCAGCAAAAAAATATAAGGCATGCTCAAACTGGGTAATTTAAGGAACAGTTAATACAAAGACTATTTAAAAAGGTAGAGGTGGGGTTTAGGAAAATGAAAAAGATAGTGACCAAACTCACCTCTAGGTCTCAAAAGGAAGAGCAAGAGAGCAGTTACTAGAACGTAGAGAAGGTGGTTTAGGGAGCTGTGGCCGTCAGTAGAAGGGAAGCCACCCCGCGAGCAACAGCAGAGAAAGAGCGGAGGGAACAAATACCCCAACCTCACCCTCTGATTTCCTGCCGGTACTGCCCACCAGCAGAACCCACGAGAAGCCAAGGTCCGTGCAGATCAGCTCCCAGGGCACAGAGCAGATGTGCTGGAAGGGAAACTGAAGACACCCACTGTGTCTATTAATCAAGAGAAAACAATAGAGCAATCTTGGTGATTTTCCACTCTTCTGTTACTTTAAAGATCTGTGTCCATCACAAAAATAAAGAAAATTTTAGAGAATATGGAATTCTCCCTTAACTCTAATAGTAGTATGTGAAATTTTTAGACAGCCATAATTTTAAAATGCTTGCAATACAATGGCAAAACAAATGACGACCGGGTGAAATATTGAGTCTTTTGGAAAGCTCCACGATTTCCTGTATCCCTGCATAGCCAGAATTGCTGAGTAGCCACTGAGCTGGGGGTGCACTGACTGGTGGGAAGTAGGAGAGTCACTCCATTTAAATGTTTATTCAGAAAGGATCTGGTGGTAATTTGAGGAGTTCTTATTTCTGTGTCATTGGTATGAGTCAACAACTGCTTTCTTTACTGACTCATTGTGGTCAACACAAGAGTTTGGATACATCTGAAACTGTGAGTAGTCATGGAAGCATATGTGGCAGTGTTCTTAATTTGGGCAGACTCACCAAGTTTTTAAGAAATATGTTGAATTTACCTCAAACCATTATGTTCTAATACCCACAGTATTTTCTCGAAATTACTGACTCTGCTCATTAATTTCCATACATGTTAACATGTATATTGTAACAGAATAAACTGGAATATTTTTTCTTCCTTTTTTTGTGTGTGTGTTTGTGTGTCAATAAAACTGACAGATTTTTTTTTTAATTCTGCAAATTGGCAGGCATGGGTCCAAAATCAAACTGAATTTCATAAGTTTCACATTTTAATTGACAATTGTCGCTAGACAGCAGTGAGATGCCACTTTCGTGCTTTTAACTGCCAAGAAAAGGAAAGAGAAGCAGTAGTTCAGTAACTGAAAGGAGGAGCAAACCGAAAGCTCAGCAAAGACAAAAACATTTAAAAAATATTTTTCTTAAGTTCTTGCCAGGCCCCCTCTCACATAACCTTGTTTTAGGAATCTGACGTTTCTTGTGGGCTGGGTGGAAAATGATTTTTAGGTCACTACACAGCAAGTACAAGTAAAATTAATGCAGGTTTCTCTCCAAAATAACCAAAACTCTTGCTAAAGTTAATGACTCTGAGGCATGAAATAAAAATGACATGTTGGGGTTTATATCTTTCCAGATTATTATTTTTAAGACATCATATTTTTAAGGCATCAGCCTTAGTAAGGCAACTTTACTAGACTGGAGTGGGCTTTGAAAGGTCTATATTCTAGAGGAAAATCATTTCCATCTGGCCCTGACTACCAGCACAAGTCTGAAATTCCATTTACTGAAATACAATCCATAGTCACCTTCCCACCTGCCAGGACAGCTTTGTGCAGTGCTGAGCCTATAGCTGATATGCCTGCCTCATGGCTGGCACTCTGAGGCCTGTGTGAGATCCCCAAGACAGCAGCTAGTGGTGGTTCTGTGGTTCACAGACCTTTCTGTCTTTCCTTCCCTTAGCTGGGCAGCCCACAACAGAAACCCAAGCGTCTGCGCCTGGTGGTGGATGTGTCTGGCAGCATGTACCGCTTTAACGGGGTGGACGGCCGGCTCGAGCGCTCGATGGAGGCCGTGTGTATGGTCATGGAAGCCTTCGAGAACTATGAGGAGAAGTTCAAGGTAATGGCCTGAGCCAAGGATGATGAGAGGCGTCATTGACCACATCTGCCAGCAGTCAGCCTCAAGTGAGGGCATGATGATGGATAGGTGGATGCAGACTCCATCAGAGCATGCAAAAAGCTTCATCCTCTCACCAGCTCAGTCATCAGTGCAGAGAAAGTGAACCTTTTCTCTGATAACCAGAAAATAATACTGTAATTGAAAGGACCAATTACTACAGAAGAAATCATTGCACTTTACAAGTTGTATGAAGCTAGCCACAATGTAAGGGGAAAACCCATCTGTTTAGATGCACCACAAGTCTGTTCCCAGGTTTCTCAGAGCCTCCTGTTCTCATCCTAATTCCCCATCCCCACCCACTCTTGCCCCATCGCCAGCCAGGCAGCCTTCCAAGCTTTGAGCACATGCTCAGAGCACGCTGTTCTCAGTATCGCTTTCCCTTTCGACGTGGGCATGGGTTTGCCATTGCCCACTGGAAATACCAAACCCAAGTATTTCCACGGTAATCGATATATCCCCAGCTGACAGTGAAGATGGTTACCCTGGGAGGAAAGCTGCTTCCTATTTAAACAACTTCCATTCTGCTCCTGCTCAGTTTGCTGTGCACCCTCCATTTCAGAGGGTGTGCATGGAGCATGGTGCAGATATCCCCCGGACTGCTGTTGTACTACTGGATATGAGCTTGTTAATCTGCTCTTAGTCAGCCACTGAGAGCACCTGCACTCTGGCCCTTATCAGAGTAAATGACCTTAAGCATAATCACATGCTGTGTGATTATTATCAAAAGTTCAGTTGAGAGAAATGGTATAGGTGTAGGCGTGTGTGTGTAAAGGACACATAGTCCATCCATACATATTCTAGATTTTATTCTGGATTAAACATGTCCTCAGAAATAGACAATCTTAGATCACTATTTAGCTCACCATCCCACCTGTGCCCAGAATTGCTTTCCCGAGTCATGTCTCTATGTTATGATGCACCCAACAAGAAACAGATTGATGAAACCCATCACTTCTGTTACTTTAGGCTGGTTATTAAGGAGACTGCACCCTGAATCTCTCAGGGTCCCTCATACTGAAGTCTGCATGAGAAATTCCTTTTAGAATTAAGTGGCAGGAAAAGGGCAGCTTTAGTCAATGAATGCCATGGATTGCCAGGCTCTGTACAAATGCAGGACACACAACTAAGACATGGACTTTTCATTTGTTTCACTTGAAGAAGTAGAATGTATTTCCCCTTGTGCTTAGTGAAAACCATGGAACTGGTCAAGATTCCCTCTTGGTTTTAGTTGCTGGAAAGCTCAGAGCCAAAATCAAAGACTAGCTATGGTAACTGTTGTGTCTTATGGCCTGTGGACTTGGATTCAGCTTTCTCTTTCCCTTGACCCTCTCTCCCTTCAGATGTGAGATTTTTCTTGATTTTTATGTTTTGCCTTTTTTGTGTTTTATGGGTTTATAGAAAATATTTATTTAAAAATATTTTAGATCCTTTTTAGTATGAGGTGAAGTGTAATGCTTAAATTACAGGGATCACGGATGGCCAGTAGGTGGTTAGACATCTCTTGTATCAGCATAAATGCCCACACCCCACCTACTGTTTTAAAACCATTGGGTTCTGCTAATATTTAGATCAGCCCATCTTCCTCTCTACAGTTCTTGAATTTCAGTGTTCCTCAGCTCTCTTTGAGCTATATAAAGACTTTAACACATTATAAACCATAGCAAACATACCCCTGTTGAAATTAGCAGATTCAGAGTTATGAAAAGAGTAAAATTTCCAGTTAGAAAAAGGATTTCTACATCTTTGAGAGTGGAACTGCTGTGACATGTGAAGCTCCATCTTCCAGGTTTTTAGAAAGAAGATTTATTAGGAGTTAACAAGAAATTGGTTGACACTGCTCCCCAGGACTGGGTAAAGGATAAGACAGAGGGCAGAAGGTGGCAAAGCTAATGGAGAGTTCTGAGAGGCATTCTGTTGCCTCCAGGTAGATGGTGCGATTGTCAGAGTGGGCTGGGTATTTCTCCTCATGTCACATAGCAGGGTGTACAGAGACATTTCTGTTTATACAATTCTTATTTTTAAGTCTCTAATCTGGAAGAACTTTTAATGAAACTGGACATATCACATAAAAAAGGAACAATATCAAGGAGATGAGTACTTCACGAGATGTTGTTTTGTTTTGTTTTTAATTGATGGTTACAAATGAAATTATTGCCAGACGACCTGCTGGATGTCAGTTAAATTCAACAAAATTACAAACATTCATTGAGCACCTGCTGAGAGCAGAGCACTTTGCTAGATACACAGTTGAGCTTGTAGCCTAGTGAAGGAGACGTATGAAAACTGTTCACTCGGACAGAAGATTCAGTGAGCAACGCGCAGGGACAGAGGTGCGAACGAAGCGTGCCTCTTCACACCCCCTCCTGTGTTTTGCTGATATTCCCTTCAATTACCACAAAGTGTAAAGGATTTCCTCAGTCTTCACCAGTACAACCACAAACATATTGAGAAGATAACCATAGTATTATCTGACTGACAAACCCAGGTGAAATTATAGCAAGACACTGAGATAAAATAAACTTTTTTCAGGGCTTAAAGTACCTTCATCATTTTTTACGCTATCAGATTTTTTTTTTTTTTGGAAGCTGGCCAATATAGGGATCCAAACCCTTGACCTTTGCTATCAGATGTTTAACAGGCAGGGTTTTTTAAAAATCTTTGTTATTATTACGTTTATTTATTTATTAATATTACTGGGTTTTTCCACATTCTATGATGTTGTTGCAGTTGGGGACGAGAAGAGGGGAAAGGGGAAGGAAATAGGGTGGGAGAAGGAGGAAGGGGGGGTTGAGGCCTATGGTACCCTCTCATTCCTGCAGCAGAGACTGGGGCCTTCCAGCAGTGGCTTGGTCATTGCTGGGCTGGGTACAGATGTCAGAGGGCTGTAGCTAAAGCCCTTGTCCCCCCCACCACCCCAGCTCATGAGCCCAGGGTGCTTCCGGCAGCAGCTCAGTGGTCATCTCTGTTTTGCGGGTGTCGGGGGGGTGTGGTAAGGCTGTCAGGCCCCCTCCACTCTGGCTTGGGAGAGCCTGGGGCACTTCCTGTGGTGGCTTGGTGGTCATCACTGGGTTAACAGGCAGTATTTTAATGGTTTTGGGGGTTTTGTGCATTTTGTTACACTTCTAAACATACCCCTTTGATGGAATTTGGATGTGTTGTCCCCTCCAAAATTCATATGGAAATTTGATCCCCAGTGTGGCAGTGTTGGAAACTAATTGAGTCACGGGAGCGGATCCCTCATGAATGGATTAATGCTCTCCCTGGGGGAGGAGGGGTAGTGAGTGAGTTCTCGCTCTATTAGTTCCCACAAGAGCTGGTTGTTTAAAGGACCCTGGCATCTCCTCTTGCTTCTCTCTCTTGCTTCCTGTCGCCATGTGATCTGCTTGTACCGCTGGCCGCCTGCCACTTTCCACCGTGAGTAGAAGCAGCCTGAGGCCCTGCAGCTGTCCCAGAATCATAAGCCAAATAAACCTCTCTTCTTTATAAATTACCCAGTCTCAGGTAATTCTGTTATAGCAACACATAATGGACTAATACACCCTTCCATTCACTACAGTTCCTTTAGAACTTTTTAACCATAGAAAGTCTTAAGAAACAGTGCATTAAAATCTTTCCAACAGAAGGATAAGACCTTAGGACTTCACAAAACAAGGTCTTTGAACCTTTGTCAGGAAAACGTGCTTGGGCAAGTGTCTGGAGGTACAAGAGGGACCAGGGGAGGCATATAAGTCCTGTTTCTGCAAATTCCTGTCATGTCCATTGACTTTAGAACTGGGGTCACCTCAGAGGTCATGTACTCCAGCTTTCTCATTCCACAGACAGGAAACTGAGACAAAGAAACATGAAGGGCTTTTCCCAAAGTTGGACGGCTACTTGGAGGCAGAGTAGGATGGAACCCAGGACTCGTTTTGTTTTGTTAGAGTTTTTTTTTTCTTTTTTGTTGTTGTTTTGGTTTATTTTTAAACTTTCCTCTTTATTTGCCTTCTCTTGTATTTTGAAAAATTTTAAACCTACAAAAAAGTTGGAACAACAGTAAAATGAACCCCTATATGCCCTCACTTAGATTCACCAGTTGTTAACATTTTGCCACATTTGTTTTATGTCTCCCCACTCTGAATCATTTTAAAATAAATTATAAACATCATAATACTTACCTTTAAATAATTTATTATACTTCTCCTAAGAGTAAGAATATTCTCTAACACAACCTCAATACCGTTATTATACCTAAGAAACCAGTAATATCTTACAATATGCAATCCAAATTCACTTTTCCCAACTGTCTCAAAGTGTCTTTTATAGTTGTCCCTCACCCAGGATCCAGTCAAAGCCCACCCCTTACTTTTGGTTGTAATGTCTCATTAGGCTCTTTTAATCTGGAACAGTCACCTCCCCGATCACTAGCTTGTTTTGCTTTTAATGACAGTCACTCTCAGTTGTCTTGTAAAATGTCCCTTATTCTGGATTTGTCTGGTTGCTTTCTCATGGTGCCACTTGTCCCAATATCCCCTATATTTCCCAAACTCCTAACAGGCCTTCTCTCCACATTGGTAACACTGGAGACTTTTAGCCTTCTACCATCCCTGCCATCATGTATGAGACCTTATCTCTGCTATGGCTCTTCAGGTTTCCCCTTTAGAGGGCAGGAAGGAGGTAGGATGGAGTGACTTACATTCTGTGAGAGCTTTTTTGTTTTTAATTAAATTTGGGGGTATAGGTAACGGGCGCACATAGTACAACATGTAAAGGTACAAAAGGAGAAAAGTGAGGAGGAGTACGCCTCTGCTCACTCCCTGTAGTAGTCTGTTTCTGTTGCTTATAACAAAATACACAGAACTGGGTGATCTATAAAGAAAACAAAATTTATTGCTTACAGTTTCAGAGGCTAGCAAGTCCAAAGTCCAGGGAACACATCAGGTCAAGGCTTTCTTTGGTGGTGA